ATCTAGAACAGGAAATAAAGAACTGGCAAAAATAAAAGAAGCTTACAATTGATTAAAATGGCTGGATTTAATTTTGAGCATTTTTATAATGTTCAGTCAAGGCTGCCTGGAATATCTTGTTCCTTAATAGAATTGCTATGAGTGAAAAATAACCTTTAGTGTGAATTAAATGTTGCTGTAGTATATAATGAGAGTACATTTTGTAGGTGTACATAAATGTATTGCAGGCCCCATTGCATTTTCTATTATAGAGACATCCTAAGAAATTTAAGATGGTGGGAAGGCAGAGAGTTGAATCTGACCACTTAGACTTTACTGCTAATTATTGGAGATTATTGAATAGTGGACTTCTCAGGCTATGTGACTGTGTGTACTTTGTGCCTGTGTCTCATGAATATTTTCAATTTACCACTATGCATGTTAAGAATTACCATGTCTTGCCGAAACTGGTTTGGCTCAATGGATAGAGCGTCGGCTTGGGGACTGAAGGGTCCCAGGTTCGATTCTGGTCAGGGGCATGTACCTTGGTTATGGGCATACCCCCAGTAGGGTGTGTGCAAGAGGCAGCTGATCGATGACTCTCTCTCATCGATGTTTCTAACACTCTACCTCTCTCCCTTCCTCTCTGTACAAAATCAATATATATATATATATATATATATATATATATATATATATATATATATAAAGAATTACCATGTCTGTAATCACATGTCTGTTATGCAAAATGCATGAATCTTTCTTCAATCAGCAACACAGAAAGCATCGCCAGTGAACTCAGTCTTGAACTATCTGTTATGCAGTTCCAGTCACAAGTCCCATTGAGACAATTCCTCTGTGAGGGAGCTAGTATAAGGGAGCTTACATCCCTCCACTCCTTCGGATTTGCTCCATTCCTATGTCAGTAGTGCACAGGAAAGCCCAATACTTGCAGCTATTAGCCTAACCCTGTAACTCCATATGCAGACATTCCTTCCCTGAGTTAGATTTTAATGCAATGCTCTTGCTTTTTAGTTATTATAAGGAAAAGCCATGTGAAGACATCTTTGCATTTTCTGTAAAATTAGTATTGAAAAACTATTTTATTGTTCAAAGCTTCTTATAATCAAAACAATGAGAATTTCTTTTCATATGTTAGTATCTGGTAATCATTTATTTCATTTAATGAATTAGAGTATGCTTCCTTTCCTCAAATGAAGAGAATTCTATAAACTATAAGCTTTTCCTTATTGCCTTAGCTACCAAGAAGCTTGGTGTTCAACTTAATGTTCAATCACAGTAACCAACTTAGCTTCACTTTCACTTTTTCTATTTATTTACCTTTTACTCCAAATCCTTTATTTTGGCAAAGGCAAGGCATGAATTATAATTTTATTCTGTTCAATTCATCAACAATGAATTGAACAGAATAAAATTTATTGAATATCAAATATGTACCATACATGTTACTAAGTCTTGAAGATAGAAAATTAAATAAAAGGTAGTTGTTGACTTTTAAAAGCTTATACTTTTGTGCAGGAAAATAAATCATAACTATAGTACAATCTATATAGTAAGATGTTGATTTTCTATATGTATTTAGCAAAGTTTCAATTTTTCTCTAACATTATTCAAGTAGATACAGTTTTAGACATTGTCAAGTGTAGGACTTTTTCTAATTTCAAGCATATTTTAAAACCTAGAGATACAAAATTAAATCTAAGCATGCATCAGAAACTCAAATCACTATAATAATAGACATAAATGAAGAGATATTAAAACCTAACTTTATCTTTCCATTAAGGTAAAGATAAACCTGTTCCTTTTATTTACTGCTAAACAGGAACGGGAATGTAATTATTAATGACTTGCTTGCCAGAAAATGGGCCTTGATTTCTGGACTCCTTATGTGTTTGGCCTAGAGAGAGTGAATTACTTCTTAGGGATTTGAGGGATCTTGGTGGTTTTGGGGACATCATGGGACAAGTTTCTGATTCTGTATTACTCTGTTTCAATGAAAGGTCAAGAAAATTTCAATGAAAATTCAATAAGTTAAGCTTTGAGCTTCCTGGTAGCTAAGGCAAAAAGAAAAAGCTCATAGGCTATATAATTTTATTTGCCTAATGTAAAGAAGCATATCCTAGCTCAGTAAATGAGATAGTGTAAAATGAAGACATTTAAAATGGAAATGAGCCGAAACCGGTTTGGTTCACTGGGTAGAGTGTCTGCCTGCAGACTGAAGGGTCCAGGTTCGATTCTGGTCAAGGGCATGTACCTTGGTTGTGGGCACATCCCCAGTCGGGGTGTGCAGGAGGCAGTTGATCGATGATTCTCTCTCATCGATGTTTCTAACTCTCTATCCATCTCTCTTTCTCTCTGTAAAAAAACAATAAAATATATTTAAAAAATAAATAAATAAAATGGAAATGAAATAGCTGTTTTTCCTTGTTGGGTAATATCCTTGAATATAGGATTTAGAGTTCATTAGACAGTCATTTGACCCAAGAGGTAAATAGTTTGAGGGGCCAGAACAATGCCTTGCATCAAATTCTCATGGGGCTCTCAGCAGCGCAATGTAATACTTTTGTTCTGAATTTAAGGATTGAATAGAGAAACTCATTCTGGCTGCTCCCCAAATAGCTTATTGTGCAACTCTATTGAAGAGGAGACAGATGTATATAAAGAGTTTATCCTTACCTTAGCTGAAAAGTAATTTCTGCCATTAAAATTGACAAACTTAGGCCCTTTAGGGAATAAAAGTGATTTTTACTTGTCTTTATCTATTAAATATGCCTTTCAAATATACTTCTGAAAAATGGAGCAATTTTTCAGCTGAGAATTATATGAAATGTTGTTTAAATACTACTTCAGCACCAAGGTTGCATGTCATGTATAAGATGTTTTTTAGGGAGGATAAGAAACCTAAAGTTATATATTTTTATATAATTCCCCATCCCCCACAGATTCCTCATAGCCTATATTTAGAATACTCTTTATTTATCTTTTAAACCATATTTTCCAAACTGCCCTTATTTCTTTGAAAGTGTCTTCTGTGATTTAACATATGGTATGAGTTGAATACAATGTACAGTAATACAATATATGGCAATCATGCTAATAACAAAGCCAAGGTTTCCAGTTTGACTCCCTCTCTGGTTATTTCTTCTTGGTATCTTTTTCTGGCTCCTCTTCTTCTCCCAGTCTCTTAAAGGTTTAAGTTTTCCAGGGCTCGCTCTTGAGATCGATCTTATCTTTCTACATTTCTTTCCCTGAGTGATTTAATTCATTTCTGACATTCACCCTCCATTCATTTTCACATTCTTTCATCTTCACATATAGAGAATAGCACACAACCATACAGCTAAGGTTTAGATGAGATACCAAAGTTGGATTGGCACACTCTCTGTGTGCACCAGGAGATTGGGTTGTGTTAAGGGTATGTGGAAAATCTTAAATGTTAAACATCTAGATTCAGTGGAGGTTGTACCAGTGGGAGGTTGTCATAACCTTCTGTGCATGAAGAGCAAACCTATGGCTCCTGGGACATAAACACTACATAGGGTGAGTGTCTTCTCCATTCATCCAATGGCCCTGCTGCCACATGCCTCCACTATGGGTGCCAATAGTCTTATTTCATTGCAACATCTTGGGCCATAATAGTACAGCTTAGGCACAAAGACGTACTTTGCCCTTCTGAATGCAACATATTATTTTTATAACATCTTTACTATGTAAAAAGAATAATAAAAAGACACTTTTAAAATTGAAAAGCTGGCCGAGACTGGTTTGGCTCAATGGATAGAGCGTCGGCTTGGGGACTGAAAGGTCCCGGGTTCCATTCTGGTCAAAGGCATGTACCTTGGTTGCGGGCATATCCCCAGTGGGGGGTGTGCAAGAGGCAGCTGATCGATGACTCTCTCTCATCGATGTTTCTAACTCTTTATCTCTCTCCCTTCTTCTCTGTATAAAATCAATAAAATATATTTTTAAAAATAAATAAATAAATAAATAAATAAATAAATAAATAAATAAAATTGAAAAGCTGAGTTTTCATCAGTCATTTCCCACTATACAGCTCTCTACTATTTTTAGTTATGAAGACTATGTTTTCTATATTAAAAATACTTAGGAACTTAAATATTTTAAAAGCAATCACACCATTTAAATAAGATTAATGTATCCTACAGGGGATGAATAGCTGGTATGTTGGTTGCCCATAGAGTGATTCAGTTGCCAACATCACTTTGAAAAATCTGTGTTTTGATTTACTCAAGTAACAGCTTAAGTTCTCGAATATTTTTTTCTAAATCACTGAAGACAGTCACTGTTGATAAACAGTTGCACCATTTCAAAGTATATGAGTATGAATCATCAATATGTAAATGCCATTCCCCAATATATAAATGTACGCAGACCCAGTAATTTATAGTTCTTTGATGAAAAAGAATCAGATTTACTTTACTCATAAGTCACTTCAATTAGATGTTGTTAAATCCCATGCTTTTTTAAAACTGAAGGTAGCCATTATAGGATACCTAGTTTAACTGACTTCTTCCTTATCCAGTGGGCTAAGCCTTTTTCATTGTATAATGTAGTGGGAAGGGGTGAAATGTCAAGAACAATATAAGTAAAATACTCCTTTATAATTCCAATGATCAGTGAGTAGAAGTTGTTGATCACAATGTAGAATGTAACAGTTCAGCTCAACTGACCTTAAAGTAAGGTATTTTGCTAATAAAATTCAAAAGTAACATAATTTAAAACTTTCTCCCAGTAAGCATTTTTAAGGTTAGGCCAGGGAATATACAAATGATAATCACACAGCTCATTCCAAGAGACTATTTCAATATCGTTACTGATTTTTTTCTTATATAGCACATGAAAAGTATGAATAGCAGCATAAAAATTTTAGAGAACCTTATATGTTAATCTACTTAGAACATCTGTTTGAAACATTAACATTAGGAAACACAAACCTATTCATTCTTTCTCCTCCCACCCCCATCTTTTTGTTATTTTAGACAAACAAAGGGGATGCTCTTGCCAACAGAGTCCAGAACACGCTGGGAAACTATGATGAAATGAAGGATTTGCTAACTAGCCATTCTAATCAGAATCATCTAGTGGGAATCCCAAAGAGTTCTGTGCCCCAGACTCCCATCAACAAAAATGAACCAAGCTTTTTCTCAGAACAAAAGAACCGAATGATCCCACCTTACCAGGATAACACTCACCCATCTGGACCAATGCCTCCACCTTCTGTTGTGATACTGAATTCAACTCTAATACACAGCAACAAGAAATCAAAACCTGACTGGCCACGAGATAGTCATAACACTAGCATTGTACCAGCTAGCCAGACCAGTAGTCAGCCAAACAAGATGCAGCCATCAACACAGGATCAGCCCCAACCTAGACTGGAAGACTACTTTGTTTACCCAGCTGAACAGCCTCAAGTTGGAGCACTTGAAGAATCAAACCCATCATCAAAGGAAGGCAGTTATCTCAAGTCCAGTGGAGGTGATTCATTTAAAGAAATATTTCAATCTAATTCACCAGGAGCATCTGAATTTACAGTGCAAGTGCCTGGGTCTCCCCTACTTGCCTCCTCTTTATTGGCTCCTAACAGTGGCCTTTCAGTTCAAAACTTCCCACCAGGGCTTTACAGCAAAACAAGCATGGGGCAGCAAAAACCAACTGCATATGTGAGACCTATGGATGGCCAGGACCAGACACAAGACATATCTCCAACACTGAAACCTTCTATTGAATTTGAGAGCAGTTTTGGGAATCTGTCATTTGGATCCCTCTTGGATGGAAAACCAAGTACGACCAGTTCAAAGACTAAACTGCCCAAGTTCACAATTCTCCAAACAAGTGAAGTAAGTAATTTTAGTTTTGTTTTGTTCTTTTATTTATTTATTTTTTTAGTTAACTGCTATAAAGTATTCACAAGCACCTCTTATTTACCTTCTCAAACCATAAATGTGACTCTTCAAGGTCAGAATCTGAGTCTTGATCTCTTGTCAATTGTAATTTGACTGATTAACACTCTGCAAATTCAGTAATATCTCCATAATTTGGAATGACAAAAGAGAAGGTCAGTCTGAGTGAATGAAAGGTTGGAGTTATAAAGTAGTTTCAGACAATACATTTGCAATATTATGTGCAAATTTAATAACACTGGATATTTCAATTGGCCAGGAGACCCATGAAAAGATTGTGTCACTGCAGGCCATGACTAGCCAATATCATAAACAATACACAAAAGTTCCTTAAGCTATTGAATGTACAAGTGTGGTTTGTGGAACCTGAAGTGGAAGGCATTCTTTAAGAATCTTAGCTTCTTGCCCTCACCAGTTTTGCTCAGTGGTTGGAGCGTCAGTCCATTGACTGAAGGGTCCTGAGTTAAATTCTGGTCAAAGGCACATACCTCAGTTGCAGGCTTGATCCCTGGCCTCTATCTAGGTGTGTGTGGAAGGAAACCAATCAATATGTCTCTCTTGCATCAATGTTTCACTCTGTCTCTCTTCCCCCCTTCTACTCTCTCTAAAAATCAATGGAAAACATATCTTCAGGTGAGTATTAACAAAAACAAACAAAAAAGACCACGAAGAAGCTTAGCTTCTCCAGTGCTTGCAGAGCTATTTATTGGTGAGATCTTATATTTCTTAATCTTCCCTTTTACATCATTGTCTTGAGCCCTTCTACAAAATCTAAAGGCATTATCCTCAACCAGAATTCGACTGAGTTTAGAATGACTAAATTCTCTATCCACCCCAGGAATATTGCCTTGTAAAAGAGAAGTTCTGAGGGATCAAAGTCTCTCCTAAAGGAATGGATTATAATGATTGTATATTATGCCTTGTGGCCCCTGGGTTGACACCGCATATTGGGTACCCCTCAGATACCACCATATAAGCTGCTGCCTACTATACCTCAAGTGCTTGATTGTAAGAAACCACTGCTTTTAGATTAAATTCCTGTTACTGTTGACTAAAAGCTTAAAAATATATGGAGGAAGAAGATAGTTTGAATTCTTAATAGGACTCACAGGCAATCTGTATTATTGCATATTCCAATTTAGTGCTGTCTGAATTAGAGAAGTCTGACCATATGTGTCCTCTGGCTTTTCTTCCTTTATTAATACTCAGCAGATACTGTGATTTCAAAGGATTGTGGGACTACAAAAGAAGGGGCTGTTGGTTGTATTTTCTGAATGCATGTTTTCAATATTGTTTCATCTCTGAGGAAGTTGTGCTTTTTGTATTATAATTCATCAAGTCTTGTCAAGCTTTCTCCTAAGTATCTCCCCAATCTGTCACCTCTTCACCCTCATTGCTTTTGAAATGAGCATCTTTCACCTGGAATGCTGTGATAGCCCCTCCTACCATGTCTTCCTCCCTCTAGTCGCACCTTTGTTACAAAGCATCCCCCATATATATTGATCTAATGGGCATATCTTGTCATGTCACTTCCTATTTTGAATTCTTTAATGTCTTCTAATCACTTTCAGAAAAAAGTACAGATTTCTTAGTTCTGCATGCAAAGCTCTTCATTCTCTGATTTCATACTCCCTTTCTGACTTCATATGTCACCACTTCACACACAGATGAAATCCCAGTCATATGGAACTACATGTAGTTCCCCATCATATCATGCATTATCACACTTCCTTGTTTTTGTGCCTACTGCCCCTTCAGCATACAATGTCTTTCCCTACCCTCCCTATGTCTTCAGTTGTCACTTTCACCAGGCTTAATTACAAACTGTTTCTTCTGAGCTCCCCTAGCACCTTGTATACACTTTGACAGGCACTTTTTTCATTGTATTGTAGTTACTTGTTTATGTCTGTCTCTGCCACTAGATTGTGAGCTATCTGAGAGCAAGAAATGTCTCATTCTTTTCTGTATCTTAAGGGCCTAGCAAATGCCTAGCACATAGTAGGTACTCAATAAATATTTGTTGAATGAATGAATTTCAAAAATGGTTACTTGATTACACTTTCTAAGTCATAATGTTAGTCAAATAATATTAACAAAGGTAAACAATTGCTAGAAAAATCCATCAATTTTATTTCTTTAATTGTGCTCTGTTTTCTTGTGTCTTATTCTACTCGATTTCTGCAGAGTCATTTAGAAACCTGCATCCCAATTTCTACTGGATGATTTAATACAGGATTGTAATAGTTATAAATCCAAAAGAAACCTGCTTTGAAAAGGTGTATAATGGGAGACTGGGGTGTAATTTTTGTCCTGTTGTGTCCCTGGTGTCTGCTGTTGTTCCCTCCTTACATGGTAGTGCCACAATCAGAACTGGTCTACAAATAGCACTGGCCCATCAAGAGGTCCGTTAGCCTGTGTCCATCCATACCTGATTAGTGGAGTGACAGGTCACAGTTTCAGTGATATCTGCTCTGTTATAATCCTCTCTCTTATGTATTTACAATATGACTGACCCAGATTCAGAAATGATTTCATGTTTTTGCTCAATGCTCTGGCACACTATTGAGAGTTACATTTCCAAAGAGATTCTGAGCTGTCATCAACTCTAAAGATGATGATCCAATAAGCAATCTATGTGCACTGCATGCGGCCTTTGGTGAGGAAAGGTACAGGCTTTGGTAGAGCTTTGTATAAAAATGGACCAGGTGCAATAAAGTCATCATAAATGATCTGTGAAGTACTTATTTTAAAATATAGTTTTCAAGGATGGATTTAAAAAAGGAGTAGAGAGAATCATAGTTACCTAAAGCCAGGCAAATAAATAGATTCCAAGGGTAATGTGAAAACCAAAAATAGAAGGAAAGAAGTGAGAGGTTAGAAAGTCTAATAAAGAGCTCAGAAATTTGTAGATAAAAATATTAGCATAACCATAGACAAGGTAGAACATTATAAAGCTTTGAACCTAATAGGATTTATGTGGCTAAAACTCTAACCAAGTCTGGAAATTCATCCTATTACTAGTATAGTATTTCTTGTTGAACTTTTCAGAAGCACTTAGCTTTAGAATTCAAACCCAGTCCCTGGCACCAAGAGTTACAGGCATTGACTTATAGGTCCCTAGACAAGGCAGCCATCTTTGAAGAGTGGTAGCATTACTTTATTACTAAAAAGGCATGTCCACAGACTAATCACATTTCTTTGAGCATTCCCAACTCTTTTTAAAAAAAATATATTTTATTGATTTTTTACAGAGAGGAAGGGAGAGAGATAGAGAGCTAGAAACGTCGCTCTCATCGACCAGCTGCCTCTTGCACACCCCCTACTGGAGATGTGCCCGCAACCAATGTACATGTCCTTGACCGGAATTGAACCTGGGACCTTTCAGTCTGCAGACCGATGCTCTGCCACTGAGCCAAACTGGTTTCGGCACATTCCCAACTCTTACCCTGGCTCTAGTGACAAGAGGCTGACCCATGCGCTAATGAAATACATTTTGGGGGGTTGGGAAGTGAATGACTAGGAAGCACATATTCTAAGATATACAAAAAACAAATGTGATTATATTTGTGAATTGGGAGATCATATAAAATTAAATGTTCATGTGTGTGCACCTATGTTTGTTTATGTGTCTGTGCTTGTATGTATATTGGAGAAGTTTTAATTATAAGCTATCATTGAAACATTTCCCTGATTCTTATAATTTCTGTATTGATACTAAGGATAATAGAAGCCAAATCAACTTTATTTCAAAAGGTCAGTTTTTTTTTTTTATTAAAGCATGCTTTTAAAACAACATTATTTGTTTGTATAAAAACTTAATGTTACAGAATTTATTAACATTCCAGACAACCAAAAATAAACTGATGTGTTCTAAAGTTGGCCTTATAAAAAATTTCTGAGAACTACATGTAAAAACAGTAAAATACATTTTTATTTATTTATTTATTTTTAAATATATTTTATTGACAGAGAGGAAGAAAGAGGAATAGAGAGCTAGAAATGTCGATGAGAGAGAAACATCGACTAGCTGCCTCCTGCACACCCCCTGCTGGGGATGTACCCGCAACCAATGTACATTCCCTTAACCAGAATCAAACCTGGAACCTTTCAGTCCACAGACCGATGCTCTATCCACTGAGCCAAACTGGTTTCAGCTAAAATACATTTTTATATAGCTAGTGAAAACTGGTGGTTGCTTGCAGGTGGTGTTTTATTAGGAAATGAATTTGTTAATAAATGCAGGTTTATAGATGATTTTATTACAGATGTTTTTTGTTTGTCATTAGGATAAGAATATTCTGTTTTTTAAAAATTCTTTATTGATTAAGGTATTATATGCTTCCTTATCCCCCCAATGCCTCCCATCCCCCCACTCATGCCCTCACCCCCCTGGTGTCTGTGTCCACTTGTTAGGCTTATATGGATGCATACAAGTCCTTTGGTTGCTCTCTCTCTCTTTACCCCCATCTGCCCCTACCTTTTCTCTGAGGTCTGACTGTCTGATTGATATTTCTCTGTCTCTGGATATGTTTTTATCCATCAATTTATATAGTTTTGCATTTTGGTGCAATTTGTTATTAGTATTGTTTGAGAAGTAAATAATTCATACAAATGAAAGGGTAAATGACATGTATTAAGGATCTCCATCCTAAATAAATAGTTTTTATAAGTACAATACTAATGTGTCAGTGTCATCACCGTAAAGGTTCATTTGCTTTACAAGCTGCTCTTGGTGTGACCTGAGACTATCTGAGGCTCTAGTTGCCTCAAAACTAGGAGTCTCTTAGAAAAGTTTAATGAAATTGATATAAATTATGTGATTTGACTCTAGCTTATTTTAGTGACGAGTTTTGTCAACTGGCTAAAAAGTTATTGTTCACATGTTTATGCCTGTGCCTGTTTTATTTTATATACCATACAGGGAACACTGAGTGTCA